ATGCAATCAGCAACACATTAAGATCAAGCACAACTTTGACACTGACCACCGGTGGTAGTCACTAGTCTATCACCTTTAAATCATTTGAATTAAATTGAAATCAAGAAGCAGTCCAGAACATGTCTGCCATGAACAAAATTTCAATATAATGTATTTACCATTTAATGGCTCAGACAGAGCGAGGATGCAAGACCCCTCATCTCAGTTAGCTGATGGCTGAACCCCATGACGCTGACTGACCTCGGGCTGCAAGGCCCAGATTGAGTTCCCCAACCTTCTGAATGGTTGAACTCTACAACATTCTATTACAGGTTTCCCACGGCCTTTCTTTAAAGATGTTCAAAGTTGGGAACTCAGAAAAATACCCTTGAAGACTACCTCTGCCTCTGCAGAGTGGGTCCAAAGACTGGCACAGTCAGGAGGTCTGAGAGTGTGGGGGGGTGTATAGGGGTTCAGGGGCGCCCACGCGGCTACATTCCCGGTGCTTGAGCGATGGCAGCTGGGTCGGGAGCAGGCATGGCTCTCCTTCCCAGGGTGGATCAGGGCCCAGGCTACTTCCTGGCACTTGAGTGATGGCAGCTGTGTCGGGAGCAGGCGTGGCTCTCCTTCCCATGGTGGATCGGGGGCTTGATATTTGTTTTAATTAACATATGTTATTTGTTTAATCCTTTACATTTCTTTCTAGCTAGCAGGCAGGCAAGAAAGGAAAGGGAAAGAGGAAGGAAGGAAGGGGGAGGGAGACAAAGGGAGAGAGAGGGAGGGAGAGAGAGACGGAGGAAGGGAGAAAGGAAGGATGGAAGGAGGCAGGGAGGAAAAAGAAAAGAAACTGTTGTGCCCAAGTTGCAAAATCCCCAAGAAGACCACCAGGAAACTCTTCTGATGTAAATACACGAGGAGTTTATTGCAAGCTTGAGCCTGGACTCGATGCCTGGACACCAATGCAGCGGCTTCAACTGGAAGTCCTGACCCATTAAAGTAGCCTATTATAGGGTTTGGGTGGCTTGAAGTTCTCTCTATTCTATTGGCTTCTTTTCTAATTTTCTAAATCTATTGGATGTTGCTGGGACTCTTGCAAAAGCGGGAAGGAGTTTACTTTAGCTTGGGGAGCGGGTCGGTTCAAAAACGGGTTAGTATGCTCAAGGATGCAGTATACTCTTCTTATCTCTATAGAACCTCCTGTTCTTTCTCCTTGAGGTTGGAATGGCCTTCCTCCCACCCACCTGACTCTGTTCTTATCGCAACTAAGTAAAGTAAGCAAACCGAGCAAATTTTTACTGCCTGAGTTAATTTGAAGTTTGGCCCTGACACCAGATGGCTTTTCAGCTCAAAATAGAGTTAATTAGGCTAAGTGGGGGGGTCTTGGGATTTGGGCCCGATTTTTAGGGTCCCACAAAACTACAAGGGTCTAATGTTATGATAGAGTATGGAATGGTAGATGAGAAATGTCTACAAATGAGATAGCAGAGTGCTGATCCAGAACAACTTATTTTATAATTACCTTCATATCGACAGATTTTTAAAAATTTGTGGAGCACTTAAATAGGAAAGATATATATACCATGTTTTGAATAAGGAACTTCAAATTTGAAAGGAACTAAATGAACATGCTGCTCGAAACTTTTTGCTACTTTTATTATTTACTTAAAAATAAAGAATACTCTTGTAAATCATGGCCCTGATTTAGATTATCACCAAGAAATTATAGTATTGTTACAGTGAATGACATAATTTTCTTAAATGCCAGAAATTTATAGGTAGAACACTGACTTGTAATCCATGATTTTTCCTCTTCAGTATCATGATGAGTCCATCAGAGACATTCCTCATTTCTTTTATGTGGGGGCCCAGCCATGGCCCTCTGGCTTTGACACTTGAAAGGAAACTTCTTCCTCTACAATTAAGGCATTGATACAATCTATGTAACATTTGTTACTTTTCAAGGACTCTGCTTGTTAAACTTGTTTTTTGACCTTGCGATGGGAGAAACTCGGAGCGATAGCTAAAGATCTGACGTTATCTGTAAGAGTCAGGTGCTTCCTGTTGCTGTGCCTTTAAAAGGAGCTGTTTCGGTGAAATAGATCAGACTTCTCTTGGTCTCCCCTCAGGCTTGAGTGTTCTTTCCGTTTTTAATCCTCACTGCCCAACTCAGGCATGTTTGTGTTGTGACAGCTGGGCCACCACAAGTGGCGCCCGAACAGGGACCTGAGTATCGAGGGATCCAGTGAAGGACACCGCTGGATAAAGAATAAAAGGAGATCTCAACAAAAAGAAAAAAGACCTTCAAAAGGAAGGCAAAAGAGGAGCGGTGAGTTTTCTTGTAAATATTAAAAATGGGAGCCGGCAATAGTTGCATGCTTTTTGTACATATGCTTAAAGATTTATTGCCTGTCCATGGTGCTAGAGTTGGGCACCAGCAATTGTGTAATTTTTTAGAATTTGTAGAAATAGTTTGTCCTTGGTTTCCTGAGGAGGGCACAGTTAATCTAAAAACTTAGAGTAAGGTAAGAAAGCGATTACAAGATTATTATTGCTGCACTCGGACCTAGCAAGGTACCCGTGGGTACTTTCAGTTTGTGGACTCTCATCCGAGATAGTTTAGCTCACACACACACACACACACACACACACACACAGAGAGAGAGAGAGAGAGAGAGAGAGAGAGACCTCTTTAATTGCTTTAGCTTCAGGGCCCCTTAAAAGTTAAAAACCTGTTAGGATCAATTCTCAACCTCTTGTCCCTTGTTCAACAAGGGTTACAATAAGCTTTAAATATTGGGAAAGATTTATCTGGATTTTCCCTTATCTGCCCAGTCTTTGATGCTCAAGATGCTCAAGAAAATCCCGTTCATCAAAACAATTAAAAGAATTGAAAATGGCTTGCGCCCAATATAGAGCAACAGCCCCTTTTACTTTAGCAATGCTTGATTCTCTGGCAACTGATCCTTCACCTCCTTTTGATTGAAAACAAATAGCTAAAGCTTGCCTGGCAG